CTTTAATGAAACCCTTGTCCACGCAGAGCCCTTCTGGAAGACACCTGCTCTGTTTCAGCAGACCACCACCACTCTTAGTCTGCTAAGCCTCATAAAGCAAGGGTACTTAATTTTCCAAACCTAGTCATTTCTGTCTTTCTTATCCTGCAGAAAGACTACTTTTTTTTTTTTTTTTTTTTTTTTTTTTTTTTTTTTAATATTTGTAATGTCTCCTCTAACTAAAACAAGAAAATGGCAAAGCAAAGCAGAGTGCCCCAGGCAGAGCCGCTTCATGTTTCTGCTCTCCACAAACTCACATTCCTACCACCTGCCAGGCAGGCTGTTAGTTGAAACAGGACTTCCATAAACAACCTAATTCTTCCTGGAAACTTGGAAGCTGTTTTTGGCTTGGATGTTTTTTGCCTAATTACTGATTTATTTATTTGGCTTTTTCTCGGAGGCTTAAATTTCATTTTCTTGCTGTTTTATGTATCGCAAAGGCAGGCCATCGTTCTCTGCAGAGACTGAGGAAGATGGCATCTGGTTTATGTTAGTGACATGAATTACAGAAGAGCGTGTGTTTGATGTAAACCATGGCTTTGCCTTTACTGTACGTGCCAGTGCCAGAATTCCAGCAGCCCTGGCTGCTCGGAGGGGCAGGGGAAAGGCTCTGTCTGGGTGGCTTCAAAGCGTCCCAGAGATGATAAAAGCTCACAGCAGCCCTCCTGGGGACTGGCACCTTGTTCCTGCAGGGGACAAACTGCAGCGTAGAGACGTGTGAGGTGAATAGCTCTCAAGGAGGTCTTCTGTACGTACATACAGTTTCTCCCTGTGGTTACAGGGTCTTGCTGCAACTACCTGTTTCTTAGCCGTTTCCATGCGGCGTCGGTGGGGTGAGCACAGGCTGGCAGAGGGTTAATGCAGTCTGCAGGGGAGGAGGAGTGTTGCCAAAGGTGGCCAAGGGCCTGGGGAGAGTGACAGGAGAAATAATCCCTCTTTGGGGTCCTCTCCGAACACCCCTTCTGGGGTGACCTCAGGTGCTGTCCTCAGCTCTGTTCCCTGACCTTAAATGAAGAACAGTGACTTGCCTGCTTTAAATAGCCATCAGTTTGCTGCTTAAGTTCCTTCCCATGAGGTAAGAGCTTTCCAGATTCATCCGTCTTTTCCCCGGCCCGATCACAAACTTCTCCAGTGCCAGTTTCGGCCGAGCACTGCAGGATAGCTGCCAGTTTCACTGGGGCTTTCTGTAAATAAGGTGTCCAGACACGGATACTTGAGCACCAGGCATGCTGTAGCCAGGGAAACAGTGACAACAGCTTTCCCTCTAACTCCAGCCGCTGGCTCCTTAAATATCTCTCTTTTCATTGTATGCTGACCTGAAAATGTAAATATTTGCTGTTCCCCTGTGCCCTGACCCCTTCCTCTGCCAGGGTGGCTCCCATATTACCCATTGCACGCGTTGAAATGGGGAGGCAGGCTAAAGTGCACCCCTGCATGGGAAGCATCGCTGTCCCACCTCCCTTCCTGCCCTGGCACCACACAGGCTTTGCAAGGCTGGGCTGGGCTCTGTTTACCCACCGTGGTCCAGGGTAGGGGAGGGCGCCAGGAGACAAGGGAGAAGGATGGAGGGAAACCCTTCTACTGCTCCCCACAGACTCCAGGTTGTCCTTGACCCCTGCACAGGCTCCCGCACCAGCTCTAGCGAAAGCTTTCTGCAAACAGAGCTCAGCTCATGGCCACTGGTGGTTATTCCACCTAATGCAAAATTGGATCCAGGTAGTCTGACTTGCTTTTTTCCCAAATGTGTGGCTCTGATGCTGCCAAGCATCTTTGAAGCCCCCTTTTGGAGCTGCCCTATGCACCAGCGAGAGGATGTAGCCCGTTCACAGTGTCCAGGGTAGCATCCTGGTGGTGCCTTGGGTTATGAGCACAACATGCACGTAGAATAGTTTTTCCACTGATTTTTGTAAGGCTGGGAGCTGAAACAACAGAAGAGCTTGTCTTCCCCAACTGCTTTACGTTCCTGAGTCGTAGAAAGCAGCAAGAGAGTCAAATCTCTTGTTGTTTTAGTCCTATGTTGGCCCCTGCGGCATTCAAAAACTCAGTGTAAAATATAAGTTGAGTTATTGGCCTTTATTTGGGTTTACTTGAATGCCTCTATTCATAATCCAAGTGCAGTCAGTGGGCTGTACCGTACCCACCTATATTAAATTGCTTCTGGGTGCAGCACTATCTTGAGAGAGAGTCATGCCTTGTGTCCTGCCTGCTCAGAAATAATTCTCTGTTGTGTGTGCGGCTCCCGGTCTGCAGGGTCCTGCCTTGGCTGAAATCCTCTGACGTTAGCTCTCCTTCTGATGGGATGGGGAGGGCTGATAAATGTTATAGTTATGGTCAGATAGGAATTGCCCGCTGTTGTTGTGCATCTCATGAGAAATTTTAGCTTCCTGAATATTCCCTCATTGGCATCTCTCTCAGATTTGCAGTCCTTTGGGGGAACTTCCAAAAACTGTTGTTTTACCCCTGCCCCGTGCTTTAGCCCAGACACCAACAGGTCACTCTCACAGCTGGTGGGAGTCGCTGTTATGGAAGGTTTCTTGGAGCAGATTTCTGCAGCTTTCTTCTGAAAAGGTGAAAAACCAGCAATAAATCCCACCACCTCTCCCGTGGTTGGTGTATCCGAGTGTTTGCTTTGCGGCAATTTTGATTACTCCCCCAACAGACTTAATGCAGATGAGATTTCCATGTCGGATATGTGTTTTAATATGTAAGTAGGTAAATGTATTGTCAGGTTCGGTAGCAAATCATTTGGCCCCTGTGTTTTCATAAAATGCTGGCCCCGTGGGGACTGAATCCATTTTCTAATGCGTAAAATCAAACTGAGCCTGTCTATGCTAATTCTTATCCCAGCTTATACAATATTCATTGCAGAGTGTCTCATCTGTGATTCTTCTTGATAAGTAAATTCTGGTGTTATGACTCATGGCAATTACCAAAGCCCCCAAAAGGCACTAAAATAACAAATAGTGGCTGGGATGAGTAGGGAGAGGGGGACTGGGGTGGGGGGAATACTGGGGTTAGTGGGTGTGAATAAGGTTAAGGGCGGTTGCCCTGGTTGTGCTGGTGTGTGTCCCATGCAAAGGGGGAGCAGTAACAAGGTTCACCTGGGAAGGCAAGGCTGATCCTATGGGATGCCACCATGGAAAGGCTGTGTCCTAACCCCAGGGACCTTGCCAGGGGTGCACATTAAGGAGCAGACAGGGCAGTGATGCTCAGGAATGGGAGTAGATGGGTCGTGGCAGCTTCAGCCTTCACCAGGCAGATCCGGAAGGGAAACCAGAGCTTCATAGCTGGTGAGAAACCTCTGATGCTGAGGAAAAGGTGCAGGGAGTGACCCAGCGCATGTCGTGCAACTCCTTACAGGCTGAAAACCCAGCCCCAAGTTTCCTGATGTGTTACTTCTGTTTTCTAAACGTGCTAAACCCAGGGTGAATTACCTTAAAGACTCTTTGTTTTCTGAGTCAGTTTTGTATTTGCAGTTGGAGGTTTTAGTGGCTGGGTGCTTTGGTGTCTGCATATGCAAATTGGGTAAAGTCAAAATGCTTTGAATAGTGGATGAAGTCCCTGATAGCTGTGGGATCACACTCCCAATGATCTCTGTCTAAATTGGGCCCTTAATTTTCCCAAATCAGCAAAGGTCATTTGAAATCTCTGCCTTGGCATGCTGCATTGTTCAGGCTGAAAGGCAGGAGGTACCAAACTGAACCCGTGTTTCTAGCCTGTCCCTCGTGTATAATGCAGGTCTGGAGAGGATGGAAAAGCAGGCATTTGGGACGGAGTTGGGAATCATAAATGGATAAAGATCCGAACCACTTGGGATGCTGATGGCCGTGTGCTTCTCCTGGCTTCAGCAGTAGTTTGTGCCTTGCAGGGAAGGGCCGGAGTGAGATTTCCCAATTCCTTCCATCCTGTTTTAACCCATCCCTGCCCTACAGCTATTTTAAATTCCAGCAGGTAATGAATAAGCCTTTTTGTGATACAAAATGGTTTTCTTGGCATACCCTTAGGATTTGCAAGCCCCAGCCATCAGGGCGTTCCTCCGCTGCTGCTCTTGCACCAGCCTGGTGCTCGCAGCCCCGGCAGGGGCAGGAATGCGAGCAGCGCTGCCGGGTTGGAATGAGGGGAATGTGGCCGCTCGCCCGGACCTGCAGGCAGGCGTGGGACAGACAGACGGCCGTGTATTTCCTAGAGAAATGCCTAAAATTCAGAGGGCTCGTGAGTAACCCACTGTTGTACAAACACGGGAGCTCATTGCCAGGAGGCAAGCACACTGGGTCCCCCCTGCTCAGAGAATGGCTCTGCTGGGTATTTCTAACAAATGAGCTTAAAATGAACCTTTGGGCGAGGGCTAGGAGGATTTGAGTTGCTTTGGATTTGAGTTGCTTTGGTTTGCCAGTTGTGGTTTGGGGGATGTTCTTTGTCTCCTCCATGTGAGAGGAATGGTGTACTTTCCAGATGAAGTCACCAACATGAGCTGCTCCTATTGACTCTCCCGTGACAGTTTTGTGGCAGGAAAGCCCTGTCTGTGCCTTATCAGATGGGACGGTCACCAGCTGGTGTCCACCCTGCCCTGCTGCCAGCCTGGCCGCTCTTGAATAGGTGACTTGTGCTAAATTTCTGCTGCAAGTGTGTTTGCTTCCCTTGTAATGGCTTCTCCTTTAGGATGGGGCTTTCCAGCCCTAGAACTGGGGGCAGAATGCTGCTTTGTGCCAAGGGCCAGAACCTCATCAGATGTTCCCTGAGCCCCGTCCTGCCCAGTGCCACCATCCAGTAGATCCTGGATGTTCCTGCACAGCTTCATTAGTCTCAGGAGGGGCGTGTTGTGGCAGATCTGTACTGTCCTCCTTCGTATAGAGGGACATAGTTAACCAGTTATCTCTCTCTTCATGACTTGTTAGACACGTCCCTGTCCTCTGGAAATGGCTGGGCGATTAGCGCTGAGTGCTGGAGGGGCGTGGGGGTTGATGGAGGACTTTGTGGCTGCTGAAATATATGGTGTTCCTTCTGGGAAGGAACACACCCTGCTTCCTGGCCGCTGTTGCCTGCGGTCCACCCTGCAGGAAGGTTTGCGTGTGTTTCTCCGAACCGGGGACCGGGCTCTTCGAGCATTATCCCTGTCTCGGCGCTGGGGTGGTGGTCCCTGCGTGGTCTGGTGGGGTTTGCATCCAGGAGCACCGGGTGGTGGTGATCCCTGCCTGCGCTCGGGCAGGGAATCATAGAATCATAGAATGATTAGAGTTGGAAGGGACCTCAAAGATCATCGAGTTCCAACCCCACTGCCCTGGGCAGGGACACCTCCCACTAGAGCAGGTTGCTCAAGGCCACATCCAGCCTGGCCTTGAAAACTTCCAGGGATGGGGCATCCACAACTTCCCTGGGCAACCTGTTCCAGTGCCTCACCACCCTCATAGTAAAAAATTTCTTCCTGAGATCTAATCTGAATCTTTTTTTCTTCCAAAATGCCAGAGTCTGTCTCCTGGCTTCCTGCTCGGGCTGCTGAATTCCAGCCCTCTGCTGGGAGGGAAACAGGATCCAGGGACCCCGATTCTGCGTGAGCTGCGCAGAGGCTCGCTGGGCTCCTGCCAGAGCCGGAGGCGATAGGAAAAAGGCCTTTCTCCCCACGCCCTGTCGCTGGCCGGTTCGCGCTTTGGCTGATCCCTCCTGTTTTTCTTCCGTTGCAGGCATCCCGACGCTCATCGTCCTGGACTCCAAGGGGGAGGTGATCACGCGGCAGGGGCGGGTGGAGGTGCTGAACGACGTGGAATGCCGCGAATTCCCCTGGCACCCCAAACCTGTGCTGGAGCTGACGGACTCCAACGCCGTGCAGCTGAATGAGGGCCCCTGCCTCGTTCTCTTTGTAGGTACGGAGCATCGCTGCTCTGAAAGCAGAGCCTGTGCTTGGGAAGGGGGCTGGGCTACCTGGCCAGCACAGCTAGAGCTGGGCCACCGGGCTGAGAACCTGTCTCCAGCTGTGACAGTGTCCGTGGGAAGGGACGTCGACATCTTGGCGTTTTCCATCACCCAAGAGCAGGGCTGTGTGTGGAAAGGCCATGAGGAGAGAGAGTTCCCCGTGGAGTCCCCTGGAGGGATTCAAGGGGGCTGAAAGACCTGGTACCTTGCCTGGGCTGCTGCAGCTCGCAGGGGTTGGCCAGAGCCTGCCCCTGCCCATGGATCTCCTGCAGCTCCAGCCCAGCAACCCGAGGGATGTGACAGAATAGTGATCTGCCGTGGAGAGGAGTTGTCATATCAAAGATGCTTTAGCGGCGGCTGTGGAGAGGAATGCTGATGAGGTGTTGGGGAGTACGTGAAATACGCTGTCACGGTCGGTGGTAGTAAAGATGGGAAAAGCTTTTTCTGGAGCAGGGACTTCAGGCACACGTGATGTTTCAGAGGAGGCAGAGGAAGCGTCTCTGGGAAGGATTACAGCTCTGCTGGAAACCACAGCTCAGGGCTTGAATCCCTGGGCTGAGCGGGGCTGTGACAGACAGAGGGGCCTCTTTTGTGCTTTGCTGGTCCTTGGGTATTCCCCCTGTGGGGTGCTGGCTGCAGGACAGGACAGGCTTTTCCCCAAAGCTCTTGTCCCTCTCCCACTGCTAACCCACACATGAAGCTCCGCTGTGGTTGGAAACAGCCCTAGAGCTCGTCTGAAGCACAGCTGGCTCATTCCTCATCCCTTCCCTGCCCGTGATGGACAGTTAAATCAGGCGAGGTCTATGGCTGGGATTAGCTGTGCTGTAGGCTGAGCCTTGGAGGGAGTGAGACGAAGGGGTCCTGTGCTCTCGGAGGGAGCGTGGCTGTCCCTTGAGCACTCCTGGAGCTGTGGTGTGGGTTTGCTGAAGAAGCCCCCCTTGCCCCAAGCCTTCCAGGACTGTGCGAGGGGCCTGGCCCAGGGCAGGGCTCATGTCCGGCTTCCTCGCACGCCCTTTGTGAGCAGCACACCCTTCTCTGTAGCGCTGATAACGTGGCTCTCACTCTTTCCCTTCTTCCCTTCCAGATTTCCTTTTGAACCCTGATTATTTATTCAGCATAGCCCAGCAGGGGACGTGAGTGCCGAGCCAAAAATACTCTCCTCGCGCGGGGAGGACCGGCTGGCCACGCTGAGCCTTGATTGATTGGGGCCAGCGCTGCAGGCCCCTGGAAAGAGTTATTTTTATCTTGCTCTGAGCAAAGTTTTTTTTTCTATCACCTTGTTGCAAACAACTTGTTGGGAGAGCCCTCTCCGACCTGGGGCGCTCGGCGCTGGAGGGGATACCTGGCCTGGGTGAAACGAAGTGCTGGGGCTCAGACAAAGCTGGTGCTGCACTGAGGCAGGCATTGGGGATGGGGGGCTCCTGGTCAGCCCCTGTCCTGCTGGGAGACCCCCCACCTCCCCAGCAGACTGGTGTGTGCGCTGCAGGAGCAGCAGCACCCCCAGGAGAAGACAGGTTTAGCAAGAGCTGGTTGTGAATAAAATCCCGACCGCTCTACATCCGCCCCCGGAGAGTTTAGAGCTGGGTTAGCCAGAGTGTGCAGGGCTGCCTGGAGCCCCGCCAGCAGAGCTTGCTTGTAGGAAAATCAATCCCCCCAGAAACCCCACAACTCTACGTATTTATTACTGTCGCCCACACAGGACAGACCCCGAAATGCAGCATCTCTGGCGTCTCCTGCTTTGCTTGGAGAAGCCAGAGGAGAGAGCAAGGGAGTGCAGAGCCAAGGGCAGAGAGTGCTTTGGGTGTGGGCAGTGCCTGTCCCAGCTGGGGGCTGGACCGGTCCTGTCGGGTGGTTACATCAGGGACCACAAGAGCTGCAAGTGACAGGGAAACGTGGGGCCTCTCTTCTGCCTTCTTACTTTTTTTTTTTATTATTATTATTTTTTTTAATGCTAAAAGTTGTCCCCGAATTGAAATCGTTTCATCTCGATGCTGCTCAAGGACGCAGTCTTTCCTCTTTCCCAGCTCAGTATTTGAACTTCAGTGGTGGCTGGCGTTTGATTGATGTTGCCATCTCTTTCTACTCTACCTCTGTCAAATCAAAGCTGCCTTCACAGTGCTGCTGCCGCGGAGAGTCGAGCAGCCGTCCCGAGGCGGAGGGATGGTGGGTGGCGGGCAGGGGTGGCAGGCAGCCTCAGATCAGCGCCTTCGTTTGGTCTTCAAAACATCCTGACACTTCTCAAACTGCAAAACGGCTTTTTTGTGCCTGTTTGTCCCTGCGCTTCAGCAGCGGCACCAGGGGAGCGAGCAGTGAAGTATTTGGGGAGCAGGAGCTGCTCTTCTGTTACATGTTTCCCTGTCTCACATGAAAAGCACATTTCAGCTGCTCCCTAATTGCTACAGAGCCACACGGCTTTGAAGTTTGTGCTGTGCATCCGGGCTCTGGTTTCCTCCGTGGTGGTGCTGTGGGATAGAGCTGCCTGCGCCTGGCCGGTTTGCATCTGTTTGATCCTAACCTCCTTTTTTGCCTCACCTCTTTTGTTTTGTCTCCCCACCCCTCTGCCCTGCAGATTCGGAGGATGACGGAGAGTCGGAGGCAGCGAAACAACTGATTCAACCCATAGCTGAAAAAATCATTGCCAAGTACAAAGCCAAAGATGAGGAGGCACCGTTGCTCTTCTTTGTGGCGGGCGAGGTAAGCGGGAAGAGAGCGTGGGGCTGCGTCCTGCTGTGTCTTCCTGCCAGGACTGAGCTGGGTTGGGTGCCACCGTTGCTCAGGTGGGTAAACTGAGGCACGGAGTTACTGCTGCTAATCAGGGATCGTGGGGCAAAACCAGACCTGAGTTCTGGCTCGGTCCCCTGTGCTTACTGCTGGATATTACTTGTGGCAAAGGGGTCCCAGCTGCATTTGCTCAGAGGTGGAAACACCTGAAGGTGGGCGAGGGAGCTGCCAGGGCTGGGCATAGAGGGGCTGGGGGAGGTGGGAGGGAGCCACCAGCTGCCCCCTTGAACCCTGAGGCTGTGTGGGCAGGAAAGCTGCTTGGGCCAGGGGAGAGGAGATGGGGTGTGGGTTTCAGCTGGTCCAGTTGGTGCTACCCTCCTCGCTGAGGTGCTGCTGCCTTCCTTCCCACCCTGAGAGGAGGACAGGGACCGGTGCTGCAGCCTCTTCCCTAAGGGCGTGCCTGCAGGAGGCATCCCCAGTCCCACAGGATTGTGCTGTGCTGTGATACTGGACAAAATGGCCCCTGGGAGCGGGCAGGGGCCACTGGGAGAGCAGCGGGATGGCTTGTGGCTGTGCTCCCACTGCTGGCCCAGCTCTGCCCTGCCCTGAGGCTTGGCTGATCGTGTCACTGGCCTGTTCCTCTGTGAAATGAGGGCTGTTTCCTGAGCTGGCCACGCTGTTGGTGGCTGGGATGGTGTTTGGGGTGTGTTCAGGCAGCAGTGCTTGGAGCCGGGATTCTGCTGGAGAAAAGGGGCAATGAGAAAATGGGGCTTCTGGCCTCCCTTTGCCCCCCGCACAGGTGTTGTGCCCTGCTGCAGGCTTGAAAATGAGAAAGGTTTTGTGTGAAGGTTGAAAAAGCTCCAAGACCTGTGCTTCCCCTCCCGAGGTGGTGCCTGGGCAGGTGGCAGCAGCTGTGTGTCCATGCGCCTGCTCCGTCCCTCCACGCTCACGTCACAGCCGCAGTGTGCCGCAAGCGGGGCCCTCCGGAGCCGCCCTGCGCACAAAAGGGTCCCCACCGCCGCACCCAGGCCCCCCCTTTACCATGCAGGCCCCCACCACCACCTCCCACAGCCCCGTCGGCCCCTTCCAGCCAGGCGTTCCCGCTCCCACTGCCTTAACGGGTCTCCGAGCATCCCAGCTCAGCCCTGCGCCCCTGAATAAGCCCCTTGTTGGAAAGGCTGGTTTGGGAGGGTCCAGGACTTGCCCCCCTCCCCCAGAGCCTGTGAAGCCTTTTCCTCCCTGAAACATTGCTGCTATTCATCCAGGCTCCCGACGTCCCTGCAGCGGCCGGGCCGAAGAATGGGGAGCGTCCAGCACGTCCCATTCATCCGTCACCTCAATAGCCGGGAGCGCTGGCCCCAGGTCTCCGCCGGCCCCCATGCACAAAGCAGCTCAGCCATGGCCGGAGCAGGCGCCTCCCATTCCTCTCCCAGCACCGTCTGGGCTGGTTTTGCATTGATTAAAAATGCAAAAAATGGTCCCTTTTTTTTTTTTTGGTCCCTGTCCCTGTTTTTTTTTGGCGATGGGATAAAGGATGAGGCATCCCGACACCTGGGATGGGAGGTGGGAAGGGTGGGGGGCTGCTGAGCCCCCCAGCCCCGCTCGCCCTTCCCCGCCACGTGGTCCGGCTGCGCCAGAAACCCCTGCAATGGAAGGGGAGGCGCGACAGGAGTTACCCAGCGGCTGCCGCCGTGTGCCGCAGAGCCACCAGCCGCTAACCAGACTGATTGATTTCTATGGCTGCCCTTGGGTGGGGGCTCAGGGGATCCTCCCCCCCGTTTTGGATGCCGCACGTTGTGGGCTTGGCCGTGAGCAGGAGGTGAATCGTCCCAGCGCCGGGTTTTGCCCTGCGGAGCCCCGGCAGAGACAGAGTGGTTTTTGTCCCCTTTGCCCAGAGCTGTGCTGTGCTGGCCGAAGGGAAGGTAGCCCTTCTCCCCAGTGAGCAGTTCCCCGATAGGGAGCCCTGCGGCGTTCTACTTGGACCTGCCGGTGGGGTTTCAACGTTGGCTCAAAGCATGGACTTTCGTCCCTTTCCCATTTTCTGTTTTTTCCCTTCCACATCTGCCCCAGCGAGCGGCAAGGCCATGGCTCTGCTGGCAGAAGGCTGGCGAGTCCCCACATCTAGTTGTTCCTAGCTCCTGAGCTGAAGATGCTGAAATGTGCTCCTCTCCCAGAGGCTCTGGGGTGGTCCGGGGTGGTGGGTCACTCTAGGGGTGCTGGGAGCTGTGTCATGTGTGGAAGGGGTTGGAGGAGGGCCTCATCCCATCCCAGCCTGGGATAAATCAGCTTGGTTTGGTTTTGATGCAGAGCAGGCAGCAACGAGGGTGTTGCCTGCTGTGGTCGTGGTCCTGCAATGCTGGTGCAAGGCCCAAGCGCTCAGGAGATATCCATGGGCTGGACCGTGGTGTGGAAGCAGAAAACTGCTCCTGGTTGTGCTGATGGCTCCTCTCTCCCTCTCGTTTTGGCCTCCAGGATGACATGACCGACTCCCTGCGGGATTACACCAACCTGCCCGAGGCTGCCCCCCTGCTCACCATCCTGGACATGTCAGCCCGGGCCAAGTACGTGATGGATGTGGAGGAGATCACACCCGAGATCGTGGAAGCCTTTGTCAGCGACTTTCTAGCAGACAAGCTAAAACCCGAGCCCATCTAAGGGGGCTTCTGCACCAACAGACGTTATTTAAAACTAGGTCTCTCTTCTGCCGCTCGTGGATTCTCCAGCGTGTCCTCACGCCCGACCCAGTATCCAACCTTCTTGTGGTGCCTTGTTCTACGCAGTGAATCCTTCTCCTAAGCAAACTCCTTGAGATGCACTTTCAGCAGGGAGTCGTTGGCGTTTGGAGACTTCGCTTGTGCTTCATGGTGATATATTCTCTAATAACCAGGCCAGAACTGTTACCATATCGTTACTTTATACACGGCACTAGCTAGCAGGCAAACCTTTTTGCATGGTGTTCTTCCCAACGTATGCATCAGGCAGTGGATGGGGTTCTCGGGGCTCTTTTCTTCTCCTTCTTCTCCCCCCTTCTTTCCTCTCCTACCACCCCTGCTGACTAAATGACTTTTAAGGAAGCAATAAGGCAACTGTCCCCTTCGCCCCTGGCCCGTCCGACTTTCCCATGCGAGTGCCCTGACGAGGCCGAGACAAAGTCTTAACTGCTGACAACCTCTGAAAGACCACGGCGCAGCCAGGCTCTTCCTCCTGGGGCTGAGACCTTTCCGGGTGGGTTTCCCACCTCCCACCCCAAGCACCAGCAGCCTTAGGTGCTGCTGGCCCTGTTTATAGGGGGGGTCACCCCCTGATCCACCTGTGATGGGTGGATGTTCCTTCCCTCCCTCTCTTGAGCCAGGAGGAGGACCACCATCGGGCTGCCCTCACCTCTCCCTTGTGCTCTCCCTGTCCCCTCTTGTCCCTCTCTCTGGTATGAATTGTCCTCTCCCCTCTATGTTAGTTGATCGAGCTGTTTTTCGTAGGTGTGTCCCAAACCCAACATTAATGGTGCTGTTCTTTAAAAAAAAAAAACCAAAAAAAAAAACCCAACAAAAAAAAGAATCCCTCCCTAACCCAAGCAGCGCAGCCGAGCCCCCAAAAAGTGACATTGTAAAAACTGTACATGGTGATTGGAACTTTGTAATAAAACCGTTATAATAAGCTCGTCCCCGGAGGTGCCGATTGCCGCGTCTCGCCGTCGGGGAGAGGGAGCCCACCTGAAATGGGCTGGAACCGTGTAAATCCACCCCGTGTCTCACACGTTTCAGAAACTCTCCTGTTGGGCAGTGATTAACTGACGGGTGAGATGGTGGAGGAGCAGTCGTGCTGCTCCTGCTGAGCCGGGGAGGGCAGGAGCAGAACAGCCTCCCTGGGCACTGGGCTGTGAGCAACCCACCCTAAATTAACCCTAAATTATCTCCTCTCCCCTTTACTGGAGATTTTTGAGGAAGCAGCTTTTTTTTCAGCGAGTTGCCCACTGCAGGGTTAAGGGCTGGACTCAAGCTGCGTGGAAGAGGCTGAGCAGCAGCGTCGCCTCCAGCCCCCCACTGCCACCCAGCGTGCGCACGGCGGCTGCCTGCTGGTTTGAGGACAATTGCAACAGGTTTGTGGTTTGAAAGACCACAGGGTCTGTAGCATTTAGTCACGCAGCAGCTCGGGTTTATTTTCTTTCAGGGGGAGAACCCGTATTCCCCTCTGAACGTTGCAGTTCAGGCTGGTGATGAGCTCAGTGCTGCAACAGCCGCTCCAGGAGCCACTCGGTAGGAACTGGAGCAAAGCAGCATTTTTTTTTTGCTGGAGAATTGAGTCGTTTGGGGTCAATTTGATGAGACTGGGGCTGGAATGGCGCTCTGGAGATGGAATTGCTGAGCTGGAGCAGTTTCAGGCTCAAGGTAATGCCACTGCCAGCACACCCAGCCCGGGCAGTGCTGCCTTGGATACGGGTGTTGGGGCACAAAGTGGCTGAATCTCCATCTCTGGCTATTTCTGGAGCAAACTGTATGAATTATTTCACTGTGATAATGGGAAACCAGAGCCAGCAGAGCGGGTTGGCAGCAAGTAGCTGGTTGTGTGACTTGAAGTGAGTAGAGGAGGCACTTTGAAATTCACAGCAAGCTGGATGGCAGCCTGGGCAGGAGCTTCTAGTGTGACCAGGGCTGTGTGGCACATCCCAGACCCATGGAGGTGAGTTGCTGCAACCTGACCTGTTGCCCTCGGGGAGGGACAGGCAGGCCCTGGGGTCTCCTTCCCTGGGGGCCAGTGCCTGTCCCCCTCTGAGGAATGGTGACAGCAAGCAGCAGTGCCCACAGGTCCTTTTCCACCCTTCCCTTCCCTCATTCATAATTCATCCACGCTGAGACCCAGCTGCTGAAGCAAGCAGTGCCCAAGCGGCTGCGCAGGGACAGACATTGTCACCTCCTGACAGTGGCACAGTCATGAGAGCTTGGACACCCCACACAGCAGCTAGACCTGGGCCAGCCTGCTAGGCACAGGCACCCACGGCAGGATGGGTGTGGTGCTCTCATCGCTTGTTAGAGCACAAGTTTTGGTAAGCACAAGCAAATCCCATTCAGGTGGCCACTCTTTGGCCTTTCTGACCCCAAAACCACCAGCAACAGCCAGGCTGCGCAGCCCGGGGCTGTGAGAGGAAGGACACACACTGTCAGCAGCATCCTGGCTGGGCCAGCATGAACGCTGCTGTGGCAGCTGCGTCCTGACCTCGCAGCAAGGGATGTGAGGCCTCCCCAGACCTGCAGTGAGAGGGGAGCTGGCTGGCTGCACGGTGAGGGCTCCCACCCTTCCCTTCTCACTCGCATCACCGTGCGGCCAGAGCACCCACAGGCTCGGCCAGGAGCCACACTCTCATGTAGGCACAGCCCCGCCACTGCCAGAGCTCTTTAATACCCATTTACTGCAAACCAAACAGCCCGAGCTGCTCCTTTATTAATTCTACAGCACGCCAAAGGGAAAAGATGCTTCTCCAGCACCCAAACTTGAGCAGTTCAGCCCACTACAGGGAACTTCTGCCTTCTTTCTTCCTGCTTGTGCCTGCACAGCAACTGCCTCTTCCCCTCGAAGAGCACGATGCCAGCAGCGATAGCAGAGTTCAAGCTCTCCACACCTGGCACCACGGGAATGACCAGTCTCTTGCCCCCGGTGCTGGCAGCGAGGTGAAGCGCGTCCGGGCTCAGACCGTGGGTCTCTCCGCCGATCACCACTGCCACTGGAGTCTGTGTCCAATTCTCATAGTAATACTGGGCAGCCAGCTCTGGGATGCAGACATTCTCTGCTCCCTCCTCATCCTCACACTCAGGAGCAGCCTTGGGTTTGGATTTCAGGTGAGGTTTCAGGTTGCCAGGAGCAGAGCGGGCCCCGCTGGCTGCCCTCGGGAGGGACACGGTCTCAGCCTGAGCACCTGGGTCTTTGTTGTCGGCCACGCAGACCCGGACACCGGCAGGAAGGTTGTTGGGAACAGATTCCCAGTCCAGGTTGGTGATGATGGGCAGGCGGAAGTGAGCCCCCATGCCTGCACGGAGCACCTTGGGCTCCCACGGATCCACGCAGCCTGAGACGGAAGCAGGGAAAACAGTGACAGTGCAGCAGCTCCAAAAAACACGGGTTCAGTAGCTGCTGCCCACAGAAAATCACGTCTGTGCCAGGCACTGCTTACAAACTCCTGCAAACAACATCCTGGAGCACCTCTTTTTCCCTGCCTTACCCCCCCAAAATACTCAAACTGAGCTTTTTTTCCCTGGGGAAGGGCTCTTACCTTTGGTGAGCAGCACTTTCTCACAGCCTGCTCCTGCTGCAGATCTCAGAATAGTCCCCAGGTTTCCTGGATCACGGATGTTGTCGCAGATGAGGAGCAGTGGCAAGGAGCCGGCTAGCTGAGCGGCAGGGTAAGACAACTTGGCGTGGTTGGGCTTGGAAAAGATCCCTGAGGAGACAAAGTACTGACAGGCTTCTAACTAACACCCCCCAAGGAGTGGGCTGTCTCTCACTTAATTAGCCCAAATCTCACTACAGAGAAGCTGGAGAAAGCATTAGGAAAAGCACTGCTTAAGAGAAATTTGAGAAGAGTTCATCACTTCACAAGAATACCTATTTCCCAGCAAAGATTAAGCAATGGGTTATTAAAAATGAGCATTAGAACTTTCAATGAACTCTAGAAGCCACTTTCACAGTTATCACAGCAGGCCAAGGAAAAGGGAATTCTCTCAAATTATGCCACCCTTGACACACTGCCAGAACGTCTAGGGGAAGGTTATGAAGAGATAGTCGTTATCTACTTATTAAGCATGATGTAAGTTTCCCTTCGTGCGGTGTTGTGACTGTTTCCAAGGCAACTTACCTATAAGCCCCTGAGGAGTTACGAGGTCAGACCAGCTCTTAATGTCTTCAAATTTCACCTTAACTAAGTTGGCTCGTTTTAGCTCTGCCTCGGGCAGCTCCTTCAGGTGCCCCACCATGCTGAAGAAGAGAGTCTGCAGCACAGCTCCTGCCTCCAGAGCATCCTTGATCAGCCTGTGACCCTCCAGCAGAACCTTCCCGTGATGATCCCGAAACTTCTTCGATTTGGCGATAGTCACAACTTTTCTGCAGATAAGTTAATGAGAGAAAACAGCTGTGATGGCAACACCACCTTCACTGTGAGGTTTGCCAGCTACTGGGAAGTCGGAAGGCCCTAGGGTATCTTTAGACCGGCTGTAAGCGGCATTATAATACCAGTCGCTATCTAGAACCCCCAAGTGTCACAATCTGACCCAAATTCTGCAGACGTGACACCGAACAGCTGTCGGGGGGGTTCCACCGGGGGGTCAGAGCTTCCCGCAGCCCCAAAGCGCGCCCCGGGCCCATCTCCCTCCCTCCGCGGTGCCACCCGCGCCTCACCCCAGCCTCCTGTCACCGGGTCCCGCCTTCTCGTACCACAGCCCCGCCCCGGCCGAGCTCCGCTCCACCGCCGGCGGCGGCGGCGGGGGGGGCTCCTGGGGACTCTGCCGCTCCTGAGCCGCCGCCTTCCTCTCCTTCTGCGGCGGCAACACCCTCACGGGGCTCCTCCGCAGCGCCCTCACCCCTCGCCGCCCCACCTCCGCTGCCACCGGGCCGGGCCGCAGCAGGGACCGGCCCAGCCTCCTCAGCGCCGCCATCTTGCGGCGTCACCACCCCGGCGACGTGAGAGGCGGGGAGGGGGATGCGTCGCGCGGGAGGGTGACGTCACGGCTGAGCCATGGCGGCCCGGCGGGCGCTGCACTTCGTCTTCAAAGTGGGCGACCGCGGGAGCACCGCGCGCTTCTACCGCGAGCTGCTGGGCATGAGGGTGAGCGCGCGCGGCCGGCCCTGAGGGGAAGGGAGGGAAGGAGCGGGGGGGGGAATGTGGTCGCCCACCTCAGCCGCGGTGGTCCCGGGGCTCCCCCGCCCCGGTGGAGGAGGACGGGGGCTTCTCTCCCCCTCCGGCTCTCTGCCCCTTGCCCCAGGGCCGCCGTCGCGGCGTTAGGCCCGGCAAGGGTCTGCTGAGGAGAAGGGGGATGGCGGCGTCTCCGCGCTGACCTCCTCCTCCTTCTCGGCTTCTCCGCCATCAGGTGCTGAGGCACGAGGAGTTCGAGGAGGGCTGCAAAGCCAGCTGCAACGGGTGAGTAGGGCCTGGCTGCCCTCACCAGGCCGTGTTTCTCATAAAACATCCGCCAGTCGCGACTAGACAGGTCTCCTTTTTTATGGATAAAATAGGGGTTGATTTGATTTAGTGGTTTAGTGTTTTGGCTTTTTTTTTTTTTATTAAGTACTTGCCTCAGAATCAACAGTTCCCCTTTTTTGTATCTGTGTGATGTTTACATTGAAACACAGCTGTTGCTGTCATCTGCTTTAGACTGCTATTCAGCTTTATAAAACTATTTCTAAACTTTCCTGGAATTACATTTAATTAGATTGGATTTTTTTACAGGCAAGGGGCTATCTAGGGTCTCGAGTTAAAAATCCCCCCCTGGTAGCCCCCAAGGCTTTTGTCTTTCTTTGTAAATCACACAGTCTGATGCCTAACCTACGCTGCAATAAGGAAGTGCTTGTATAATTACAGCTAATGAACAGCTTCTGCATTTAAAATCTCAGCTGTTAAGAAGGAGGTATAATTGTTTCTTTATCACCTGGTTGTGGGTGGCAGCCCAAGGTCAAAACTATTGATGGGGCAGGGGAGGTGCTTGTGTTCTGAGCTGCGATAAGAACCCTTCACAGGTATCAGCTCCTGCTTGGTGGGAGGTTACTGAATTACCTGTGCCATTTGTTTACTCAAGAGATGCATGTCTTCCTTGGAACGCTAATACTTGCAGTTCTGGGTGTTTAATTCTTATGTCAATTAAATATGGATGTTCCAGCCCTTATGATGGCAAATGGAGCAAAACGATGGTGGGCTACGGGCCAGAAGACAACCACTTTGTTGCAGAATTGACTTACAATTATGGTATTGGAGAATATTGTCTGGGCAATGACTTTCTGGTAAGTACCACGCTTAGTGGCCAAATCTTATAAGTATTTTCTATTTTTATGATTAGGAGTCTGCTCAGCATGTAAGTTGTACCAGTTGTTTTTTATGCTGTGTAGTCTCTTAAACACTTCTTATTCATGCATTTGTGGCTGTCTCCAAGTTGAAAGAGCAGAAACTAGAGCAGCTTTGTGCTCGCTTAGGATCCGGGAAATGCTTCTTTGAGCACCTTCCAACTCAGTTGCTGTGTGTGTAGAAGAGCTGTTTTTTGCTGGCAGATGTAACGTGGAATGGTTAGCGAAGAAGGATCTTTTTGTAGGAAAACACTAATTTAGTATTACTTATTTATTTTTTATTTACTAGCTGATAGCCAGTGAAGATCTCTTGTGTTTCTTCTACAAATACATTTAATGTGTTTGCTCGTTGTTTCCCCTGAGCTAATATTCTTCCCCCTGTTTGCGGGGTGTCAAGAAATAGCCGCTTGGAGCCACAGATGCCTACCTAGTCTTGTAGAACAGTTAGGAACTTGTTTTTCTGTTTCTGTAAAATGCATCGAATCAGAGTTTTAAATTCTTTAGCTTTTTGTTTCCCTTTGGTGTGAAGGAAGGGTAGATTAATGCATTCCAAATATATGTGAGATGTGCAGTAAGACTTCACTTATTTGATAGGAGCAAGACACACAGTTTTTGTGAGATTGTATGGTCCATCTGTTATGAAAAATAATCCAGTTTGTTTCTGGTCATTTGTAGAGGCAGACTATTGAAAGGTAGGACTTAAGCAGCATCTGCTCTATGAATTTTGTGTGTCCTGTTCTGTTCTCACTAGGGCATAACACTTGTGTCCAGCCGGGCCGTTAGCAATGCTAAGAAGATGGGGTGGCCTCTCAAAGAAGTCACTACTGGTGTTTTTGAAACTGAAGCCCCGGGAGGATACAAGTTCTACTTGGAAGACAAGGAACAAGTCAAGCAAGGTGAAACGCACGCTTGCTCTTACTGGTGTTCAGGAGAGATTTACGAGTTGGGAATTAGAATAGGCTGTGCAATTGTCTAGGTGGTGTTTTATGAAACGGAGCATGTTCGTGTTATTTCTTTGTTAACTTCTCAAGAATGTAAAACTGTGCGTTTAAAACTACAGTCTATGTATTTGTAAACTGATCTCAAAATTTTGCGATGTTTCAGATCCTGTGCTAAAGGTAACCTTGGGTGTCTCCGATCTGCAGAAGTCTGTTAACTACTGGTCTAATTTGCTCGGGATGAAAATATATGAGGAGGATGAGAAGAAACAATGGGCATTGCTAGGCTACGCAGATGACCAGGTTAGTCCTTAAAAAACTTTCCAGTTCTGATCTTTAAGAGTTGCGTCTCATTGTAGAAACCTCTCATTTCGTGAGAACAAAATCTTAAAGGAAAGAAAAGCTCTTAATTAAAGCACTTAATTCTGTGCACTTAAATTAAAGCTTGCATACACTTAAATGCATTTCTTTTTAAAAAAAAAAGCTGTGGTTTGCTCCAGTAATTGTGGCGTGTGGGAAATATGTTTATGGGTGATTTTATAAAATTATTTGCATCAGTGAAAAGCTGGAGTGAACATAGCACTGAGAACAGCTTCCTTGCAAGTCAGGCTTTCTTTTTTCCACTTTTCAGTGCAAGCTGGAGTTGAAGGCTGTTGGAGGAGCGGTGGATCACGGGACAGCGTTTGGGCGCATCGCCTTCTCCTGCGCAAAGGATGAGGTGATGATCACATTTCCCTTATCCCTTTCATTACCCAGAGCTGACTTATGGGAGGCTAATTTCAAGCATTAGCAAAATACCTCAGATGAGAACAAAATAATACCAAGCACATACTTTGTTTGCAATTGTCACAGTGGGAATGTCATGGAATTGTGGGTAACAGGGAACTGTAAATGAGAATGACCTGAATGCATCTGATCTTCACCTAACTGGGTTGATTTTTGTTTTCCATTTAAGTTGCCAAAGATTGAAGCACTGATGAAAAAGGAGAATCAGAAGATCTTAACGCCTCTGGTTAGCTTGGACACACCTGGCAAAGCCACAGTGCAAGTGATTATTTTGGCTGATCCTGTGAGTAGTATTGGAAATAGCAATTAAATTAGGTTTAAATTTCTCTCTGCCGTTTATCTAACTTATCTGCTGCTAAACTTGTTTTAGGATGGCCATGAAATCTGTTTCGTGGGAGATGAAGCATTCCGAGATCTGTCCAAGGTGGACCCTAATGGTGACAAATTGTTAGATGATGTAAGTCATGCTCTCTGGACATTTGTTTTCTTCCTGATTATAGACCCCCGTAGAATGTTAATTTTCATTCCATGTGGAGTTTTTCTGTTGAGCAAGTCCTGCAGTCTCTCAGCTCAAGTTCACTTAGTGTCCTGGCTAGAGTTTTCCAGGCAACTGCATGGTGCTGTGTCTTGCTGGACATGTCAGTAATGCTTTGGCAAGCACATACTTTGTTTGCAATTGTCACAGTGGGAATGTCATGGAATTGTGGGTAACAGGGAACTGTAAATGAGAATGACCTGAATGCATCTGATCTTCACCTAACTGGGTTGATTTTTGTTTTCCATTTAAGTTGCCAAAGATTGAAGCACTGATGAAAAAGGAGAATCAGAAGATCTTAACGCCTCTGGTTAGCTTGGACACACCTGGCAAAGCCACAGTGCAAGTGATTATTTTGGCTGATCCTGTGAGTAGTATTGGAAATAGCAATTAAATTAGGTTTAAATTTCTCTCTGCCGTTTATCTAACTTACCTGCTGCTAAACTTGTTTTAGGATGGCCATGAAATCTGTTTCGTGGGAGATGAAGCATTCCGAGATCTGTCCAAGGTGGACCCTAATGGTGATAAATTGTTAGATGATGTAAGTCATGCTCTCTGGACATTTGTTTTCTTCCTGATTATAGACCCCCGTAGAATGTTAATTTTCATTCCATGTGGAGTTTTTCTGTTGAGCAAGTCCTGCAGTCTCTCAGCTCAAGTTCACTTAGCATCCTGGCTAGAGTTTTCCAGGCAATTAGGTGGTGCTATGTCTTGCTGGACACGTCAGTAATACTTTGCTGTAAATTACTCCAGAAAATGATTTGTGAGCTGTTGTAAAATCAGTGCAGCTGGACATCCTCCTGAGGCAGAGGGGCTCTGGTGTGGAGTGTGAGCTCTGTGGGAAGGCTGTGCTTAAACTATCCTGTTTTGCCCTCGTATTACCAGATAGTCTCTTTATTTGCTGTGGCAGAGAACATCAGTTTTCAGTGTCTGTTTTCCTTATCAGTATGTCAAAAAAGTAACTTAACCATCAGAATAGCTTTCCTCCACATGAGCAAGTGTCTGGGTTTGTGGGAGAGGCTGGTGAGTGCGAGCAGCCGGGCGTCTGGTGACATGTCAACGCTTTTGTTCGTGCAGGCCATGGCGGCGGACGACAGTGACAAATGGTTTGCTGAGAAAAAAAGGAAGAAGGCTTCTGCTTAGCTGGGGAAAAGGGACTGGACTGTTCGTTCGTGCCTTGGTTTTTATCCGAGCGAAACGCCAATCATGTAACGTGTTACATTTTCCCTCCCAGCAAGAGGGTGCCGTAACGTCCCATGCAGTCAGTTTCTTTGATTTAAGCTTGTGTCTCTTCCTGCAACTCTCTGATTTTCAAACTAATGGCATATTCTCCGTCCAAAAAAAAATTAATAATATGTCTCAGCCTGCAAAAAGGAGCAGGCTGAGCACGTGGCTTCAAAACCAGGCCGTCAGTTAAGAGGAAAAACTCACATTTCTCTGTTGTTATACTTGAAGTTGCTGGGTTTATTAGAGTATCTAATGAAGTGACTTCAGCCATCCTGGATTTGCAGCTTAGAGAAGAGATTTTCAGGTGGCAGTGGCTGTGAGTCTCGCAGGCAAAGTGTCAGAGTTGAGCTGTTGTAGTGAATGCCTCTTTACTGGGAACAGAAAAATTGCCTTGCTAAAGCACGTGAATATCCTGCTCTGGAGCAAACCCTGTTTTCATTCCAAGGTGTTTCCTCTGCTTTTGAGGCGAAATGTTTGTTTGAGAAGCCTGTGGTGTGCTTCTCAGTGGGGGCACATCATTGATGTGGTGGTTTCCACCCTGTACCAAGCTCCCGTGTACCTGTCTCCTTCCACATTCCAGGTGGGATCGGAGCTGTGCGTCAGGGCGTGTAGCAGCGCCGCGCTGTCCCTGAGGTGCCGGGAGGAGGCTTGAAATAAGTGTATTGTGGGTTTGCAGTTAGCTTTTGATGAGAAATTGCCTTTGTTAGTAACAGTTCAAGGGTTTATTCTGTCGGAAGGGTTTATTCTGCCTTCGTTAGTGGAATAAGGGCTGGGAGTGCAGGGAGTCATCGCCAGCGTTGTCCACGCCAGGCACGCTGCCCGCTGTGTAATCGTTACTGATGAAAACCTTAAATAAGTCACGGAGAAAAGCAGGCAAAATCAGCAGCGTTAGCAGTTGCCGGGGCACGCCAGCACTTGTTCTGAATATTCCGAGTTCAAACAGGAAAAGTTCCTCTCTGTGATTTTTGTTGCTTGAGTTTCTTGATTCCAGTTGGATGATGATTTTCCGTCGCGTACTGATCAAATTAAAAATGTCATGTGTCAGTTACACCCCTAAAACCGGCGCTGCCGCTCGCTGGTGTCGCCCTTAAACCAATAAAAGCGATTCAGGTGGACAGTTTGAGTGCCTTTTTTTACAGCTGCCGGCTGGAAGTCCCTCTCTCTTTTTTTAATTAGGCTCTCGGTTTCTCCCGCCGACAAATTAATGGCCGGGGGAGGCGGGCGGGCAGGCGGCGGCGCCACCACCGCCGGGCCGCCAGGGGGCGCTGCGGGAGCGGGCGGGGCTGCCGGTGGTGAGGTCAGAGCGCGCCGGGCGCGGGTGGACCACGCCGCCGCCATGGAGCCCGGTGGGTGCGGGAACCGGGGGGAGCGGGGTGTCGGGGTGGGGAGAGGAGAGGGAGAACGGGCCGAGGTAACGATGTCTCCCCGCAGGGCCGTGGGGCGTGTGCGAGGAGACGGCCATCCTGCAGGGCGGGTTCCTGCTGGCCGCCCGGCTCATCCAGCCGCGGCCGCTGCGGGAGCTGCGCAAAGGCGACTGGCCACGCGTGGGACCCCCCATCACCGACGCCCTGGGGGAGATCGGGGCCCGCTGCCCTTCGCCGTTGCAGCACAGCCTCTGGAAGAAGGAGGCTGTGGCCATCGTCTGGGCCAAAGTCCTGCTGCCGGCCCCACCGGCCACCTCACTGGACCAGGGATGGAAGGAGGATGACTTCTTCTCCGTGGGCAGCATGATCCCCGACCTTAACCATACCGTCCTCTTCGAGCTGGTCAAAGCCCTTGGTGCGCCCCAGCTCTTCGTGCAGCTGCTGCTGGCCCTGCCCCGGGATGTGTGCCAGAGCGAGCTGGAGCACTTGGTGGAGTACATCACCAGTGAGACGTCCCCATCAGACATCAGGTTCTTCTTGGACGTGTGGTGGGAGGTGATGAAACACAAGGAGGGACAGGAAGACGCAACAGTCTCTACATTCAGCGCTCTCATACGTCAGCATGGCTGTGAGACCTCTCTGGATGATGATCTCCAGCCCCCAAAGAGGTTCAAGGGTGACCCTGGCTCTCTGAATCACTCCCCTGCTGCCACCAGCTTGCTCATGGTCCTGATAGAGGGGTTAAAGCAAACCTACAGGAGCATCACTCTGCCCCGCATGAAGTGCTATGCCTTGGCCAACCTGGTGGAGCTGCTGTCCGTGTTCACTGAGCTAGAGCCAGAGGGCAGCACCCTCCCTGTTGCAGAGTACCTGGACAAGGTCAGCTCTGTGGTCAACCTCTGGACCAGGGACACTGAAAGCCAATTCTACCAGAGGGGGCTGGATGAGAAGGTGAAGGAAGCAGAGAGAAGCCTGAACCTTTTGTCCACGGCCAAGCTCTCTCGTAAGGAGCTCTTTGTTGTCTTGGGCTTTCTCTGCAGCTTGTTGCATGCCTGGGAAGAGGAGCTACAGGGTGCCCTGAACAGCTCTGAGGAGCTCTGCTATGAGAGCTACCGGCTTCTGGACACTCTTACCACTTTCAGGAAGAACCTGGTTTGCTTCTCGGACACTAGAGACCTGGGTGAGGATGAGACACGGGTAGTCTTAGAGCTGACACAGATCACCAAAGATTTTCTTAAGGAGATCAGTGGCAACCTGAAGGGTAAGGATTTGGGCACCAGCCTTGTGTCTTCAGTTGCCATGACAATCATTGAGCAAAAGCTGGACAGGCATGTGGAGATGTGCTCCGTTTTTGCTTCTGAAAAGACCTGGGCCTTTTCAAAGGACTGGGTTGACTGCTTTGTGAAAAACAAAGCTGTCTTCCAGAAACCAGAGCTAGTTTTGGAATTGCTGGAGACACTGGTGAACTTTGCTGTGTCCCGCCAAGACAAGGAGGCCCAAGAGCTGCAGATGCAAGTGACCAAAGCCATCGTGGAGTGTTACACTGAGCTTTCATTAACTGACAAAAACAAAGTGATCTCAGGTGTCCTGACGTCCTGGGGTGGGCCAGGTCTGTCCCTGAACTTGACGGTTGTTATGGAGGGGTTCCAGGAGGATCTGAATGTGACTTTCAACCAGATCACGAAGAGCGTGTCCGATCAAGGCCTGACCAGGGCTGTGGATTCTGTGGCCAGGCTCATGCTGCTGTACCCTGAGGCCACGGTGAAGCAGGTTTGTAATCTTGCTGTAGTCAACCTAGGAGCACACCAGTTCCTTGCACAAATCCTCTGCTCCTTCCCAGCGCTGAGCTTTCTGGAGACCCGTGATGATCCAGGCAGGCCACGCAGCCTGGTGGTGAGGTGTCTGGAGGAGGCAGTATGGGGGAGGCTTTCCACTGTGAGGGAAGAGGAGCAGTTCCTTGAGTTCCTGGCCTTCCTCATGCAGCCAAGCTCAGCTGCCCCGCTTGTGTCACCTGCAGAGGTGACCAAAGCCTTTGTCCTTCCCTATTTGAAATCAGACTCTGATCAAACTGAGCTGAGCCTGCAGATCCTCAGTAAGGTTTTACGGCTACAGTCCTGTTCAGAAGAGCACTGGATCAAGTCCTGTCACCCATTCCCACTTCTCCTCAGCCTCTGCAGGCTTCTAGATGGTTACACAAGGTACTGGCATCAGCCTAGGGACCAGCTCTTCCCTTCACTGGAGACCAAAGACCTGCTGCTGAACATCCTCTGCCAGCTCTGTGAGGTGGTAAGACCAGAAACTGTCACCTCCCCTGAGCTGTGGGTCCAGTCGCTGGCTTGGCTTCACAGGAAGGTGGCATCACTGGATTGGACCATTGGTCTCCGGCTGAAGAAGCTTTACGGAGACCACTTCAAGAATGAGGTCCCAGCAACGCTGTTTGAGGTCTGTACGCTTCCTGAAGATGAGTGGACATCCCAGCCTTTGCCAGCTTATGGACCGGGCAGCGGGCTCCTGGCGTGGATGGAGTGCTGCTGTGTGTCCACAGCGCTCAGGGAAACGATGTTGACGCTCCTCACGGTCAACGTGGACAACCCTGAAGAAGTTAATCTCTTCAGCAAAGGTTTCCTGGTGGCCCTTATACAGGTCCTCCCTTGGTGCAGCCACAGTGAATGGAAGGGACTCATGCAGGTGGTTGAAAACCTGCTGCAGAGGCAGGTCCTGCACGTGCCGTACACGCTGGAGTACGTACAGTACATGCCCTTGCTCAATCTCCGGCCGTTTGCCTGCTACCTCCAGTTCTCCGTGCTCTTCCTGCGGGGCTTCCAGCTCCTCTGCAGCTCCAGCTGTTCCACCTGGCTGCCGGCAGAGGCTTGGCTCCATGTGGTCCAGCTCTACTGCAGTAGCATGACAGACCTGCTGGGCTCCGTCAAGGAGACCGCGGGGCCCCCCTCGCACCCCACCGAGGACAGGACCTCCACGCAGGAGGTGTCCTTCATCTGCATCCAGATGTTCTGCCACCTGCTGCACGTTGCTGCCATGCTGCCCGACAAGGGGTGCAGCGAGCCGCTGGTGGTGGTGGCTTTGGAGATCCTATCACAGTACGAGGGGTTCAGCAATGCCGATACGTCCCCCAGCAACACGCTGCGGAGAGCCAACGAGAAGCACTTCCTGGAGTCCATCACGGACAACGTCGGTGACGAGGCGCTGCGTGGCCCTCTCCTGCAGAAGCTCAGCAAGCTGGGAGCCCGCTTGGTCGGGGAACCAGCTTGAGGAGCTGGAGAGGGCAATGGAGGAGAGCACTGACCCTGCCTCAGGGGACCCCTTTCATGGAAAGCTGTAAGATCTGTAATAAACCCTCTCTGATTTTCTTTCTTATTCCTCCCAACCTGTCTGAGCCACAAAGGGGCCATGTAGAGATGGGTAGGAGCAGCCACTCTCATTTTCCAGCAGGAACAGCTGTGCAAACAGCTCTTCCAGAGCCCGGCTGCTGCTCTGGTGGCTCCAGCCTTACCTGGATTTATAGAGAGAGAGCCTGGCAGCCTCTAGCAGCATCAGGGAAATCATTTCCCTCCGGCTTCCCTGCTGCTGGCCCTCTCCTAGTCCTGGGCGGGTTGTTGGGTTCACGTGGTAGCGAGTCGGGTGAGTTCAGGACAGGCAGGTGCCTTTGGAAATAAATAACGCGTTGCCCGGAGGTGGGTGTGCAGCGGTAACCCTGCCTGTCACCCAGAAACGAACGGCACGTGGGAGAGACAGCCAGTGGTGTGACTCAGAGAGGAAATCTTTATTGGTCTTCTGATAGGTGCAACAGTAAATAGGGCAGTGTTAGTGCAAACTGAGATGCCTCGTTGGCTTTTTTTTTTTTTTTTTTGTCCTCCTTACATAAGGCACGTTATTCGCAATGAAAACAGCGAGATACAAACATCTCTTAACAGGTAGCAAGCAGTTTATAAAATCAGCTGGTCTGGGTGGTTAAGGTGACAGTAGTGTTTCTGCAATAACCGAGTGCATGTTGGTAGAGCCCCTTTTATTTCAGTCTTTCCAGAACACAGCTGTGGCTGGGGCGAGATCCGACACCCAAAAGTAACTGGGTCCTCGGCCCTTCCAGCCGTTGTTTTTTAGACGGAATGAAAGGCACAGAGTGGCTGCAGGTCTCTGGGCATGAGGGGGGCTGTGCTGGTGCAGGGGGACCCCGGGTGAGTGTAGGAGGCTGGAGGGAGGAGGTGGGTGCCCTGGCTTGTGCTGGCTGCAGGGAAGGAACCAGACTGCTGCTGTCTGACGGGCACACACCCGCTCAGGCCTGTGCAGGGCAAACCGGGCAGCCTGACCCCGTTTTGCTGTGACTGAAGGTGGAAATGGGCCAAACTGATGAAGGACACGGCTCTGCCCTGCTCTGGCGTTGCCGTTTCCTCCTGTGCTGACCCAGTTCCCTCCCTGGCAGACTTCGCCTTGCGGGGGAGTGAGATGGACCGTACAACCGGAGCTCAGGATGTACCGGTACCACGGGGTGGGAGAGCAGGGCAGGGTGTGCTATTCAGGCTTTCACATATTTGCTGGGGGCACGTGGGGCAAGTAAAAGCAACTGCAGTTAGGGGAGAGGGTTGAAAGTCGCATCCCCTGCCAACAAAGGGCTCTGCATAGTGCCCAGAGATGGGGACTTAGCAGTCTCCTGTCCCCATCCTGCCCTTCAGCCTTGGGTGCTCTGCCCTGCCAGCATTGCTCTGAATCAGCACAACCGTTTTCTCTATCCTGGCATGAGCTTCTCTCCCCTCCAGCCTCCTGGGGACACCTGAGCCCCCCGAGCCCGGGACTGTCAGCCACAGGCACCAGATGGTTGTAGTGAAAAGCACCTTTGGGTTAAGTAGAGTCTTAAATGAGTTTGATCCCGGCAGCAGTGGGAGGTGAGAGGCTGAACGCTGCTGTAGTGTAGAGGCGAAGTGGGTAACGGTCAGGAACAGGCTGTGCAGAACCGTGCCACAGCCTGGAGGCTGTAAACAAGAGCTGGAGGAGTGAGTTGGGGCTGTGGCAGGTCCAGCACAGGGCTCCCCAAGCCCCCAGGGCTGCTGTGTGGGGCTGGGCATGCATCATCTCCTGGCTGCAGTGCTGGTGTCTGGTGTCAGCCCTGAAAGACGCAGGGAGGGGGGGGGTTTGTAACAAACCCCTCTCGTGTAACCGTTAGTTCGAGGCCACAGTGTTGAATCCCAGAAGGAATGTCGTGCTTATGGGCAGGCTTCCTCCTCCTCGCTGGCTCCTGCCCCAGCTCCCACGGGTGGGAGGACACGAGGCCCTGGAGCAGCGTGGGAAGAAAGCCTTCTGAACCCAGGCTGGTGCTGCCTGGCACGGCGGTGGAGACGGCGAGGCTGCTTCCAGCTAAAAAAGCCCAGTGGTATCGCTGCTTCTGCCCCTCTGCTTCCACGATGGTCCCCGCAGCGCTGGCATGGAAGGGTGGAAGAGCTGGGGAGGAGGGGGCTGAGCCTTTTTTTAGCCCCCCACGCTGGGCTGTGGCTACCAGCCGTTATCTGCTCTTGTCGGCGGGCGAGCTGCCGTAGAGGCGGGCGGCTTTGCGGCAGATGAGCCTGAACCAGTAGAGCTGGGGAGCGATGAGGGAGGCGTTGGCGATGTTGCAGTGCAGGGGGATGCGGAAAGGCCCCATGTAAATGGGGAGCCCCACCTGCCTGCCGTAGGCCGCGTACATGAAGGGGAAGAGGAGAATACGGCAGAGGAAGAAGGTCACCAGGATGAGGATCCCGTTCACCTTGTGCAGGAGCGTGTCTTGCATTTTGAGCTGGGGAAGGAAGAAGGCAAAGGTGGGGTGAGTGTTGGGTGAGCAGCACCCCATCGCTCCTTGGCCACTGAGGCAGGTGTGGATGAGCACCCAGCAGGCATGGATGGAGGAGGGAGCAGGAAAGCGGGGTGGGAAGGGATGGAGGAGGGAGGTTTTGGGGGGCAGAGGGCTGGGGTGCAGGGGGGAGGTACCGACAGGAGGGGGCAGCACCAGGACACAGCACAGCTCCCAGTCTGGGGATGCTACTGGGCGTGCTGCTTACTGGTGAAAGGGGTAGGAACCTAATAGGAGGCAAGGAGGAAGGCAGCAGTGTAGAGGAGCTTAGGGGTCCCCCCATCTGAAACCCCCCAAGCCCCTGGGACCCCCAGCCCAGCTGCTGCGTGAACAGGGGCTGATGTGAGGCAGGTGTGGATGAGCACCCAGCAGGCGTGGATGGAGGAGGGAGCAGGAAAGCAAGGTGGGAAGGGATGGAGGAGGGAGGTTTTGGGGGGGAGAGGGCTGGGGTGCAGGGGGGAGGTACCGACAGGAGGGGGCAGCACCAGGACACAGCACAGCTCCCAGTCTGGGGATGCTACTGGGCGTGCTGCTTACTGGTGAAAGGGGTAGGAACCTAATAGGAGGCAAGGAGGAAGGCAGCAGTGTAGAGGAGCTTAGGGGTCCCCCCATCTGAAACCCCCCAAGCCCCTGGGACCCCCAGCCCAGCTGCTGCGTGAACAGGGGCTGATGGAGAAGGGCAGCCTGGAGCAGGGAAGGGGTACGAACCACTATGAGGTTCCTAGACCTGAGCCCCAACCCTCCTCGAGAAGGGCAGCCTGGAGCAGGGAAGGGGTACAAACCACTGTGAGGTTCCCAGACCTGAGCCCCAACCCTCCTCACCTACCTGCATGAGGATTTTGCCCAGCGATACAAAAGGTGTGCTCAGCTCCGCGATGAAGATGCAGCCCACGAAGAAGTCCCCCAGTTCTCCCCTGAAATGCTGCAAATAAAGCTGGCAGTAAGTACGGGCCCCTTCCGGAGAGGTGGCCGGGATCTAACACCCAGCACCACAGGCTCCTGACAGGCAGCAGAGATGCTTTGCCAGACACAGCCTCGAAGGCAAGCCCTTGCAGCCACGCAGGGCTCCTCGTGGCCTGGGTTTCACAGCGGCCGTGCCCAGCCCTTACCTGGGTGATGGGGGTGAGCACGATGAGGATGAAGAGGTGGTGGGTCACCATCAGCCGCTCCTGCAGGAGGAAGCTCCAAATGCTGGCCAGCGAGTGCTTCTTCTCCGCCACTCCCTTGTCCATGCTCTTGTGCCAGTGGCAGAGGTACATGACGTAAATGTCGTAGGTCATGTAGGGAACGAGGACCCAGATGTATTCCACAGCCAGCCAGTGCCTAGGGGAGGAGCAGCGCACACAGGGGCATCGCAACGGCTCTGAGCACCTCGCGATGCTCTGAACGGGGGGAGAAAGTCTTTAGGTCTGAAACGGAAGCAGGGGATTTTGACACCTCTCAGCTTACCATCAGCTTCAAAATTTAACTTGATTTGCCTCAGCAGAGAAAAGGTACCTGGTATGTGCAGAGGACGCCTCCTCGGAGCTGCCCCCGCGTCGTGTTTGGCCGTGCCAGGCACCGAGCTCGGCCCAGCCAAGCACAAACACAGTGCTAACGGGGAGGATCTTGATTAGCCCCACAGCCTGGTGTTTGCCACGTGGGGCCAGGGGCACAGCACCCCTCAGCATCTAGCACTAATCCAACACATTTGTAGCAGCCCTGGGCCACGCAGAGCTGATGCTTGGCAGGAGAAAACCTCCAAAAGCGTGTCTTTTCTGCCTGCCGCGAGGCTTGGGCTGGCTGCCTAACCCGGGGAGTGTTTGGAAAGCACTCGGAGAGCTCATAGTTGCCTGGCCTGGACTTCGGAGAGCGAAGCGCAAAATATCTAATATAGGCAATAAACCCCCGCGAGACGTTTGTCTGTTGGGAAATAATTGCAGGCAGCTGCCTGTTCCCAAAGCATGTCGGAATCCCGGTTGCACAATCCGGGCAGCAGCAAGCCCTGCTCTGCAGGGACACCAGGCTCCTTAAAAAGTCCTGAGTGAAATCATACTGATAAAAAAAAAACCAACCCCAACCACCACAGCACCACACCATCACCCTACACTGCTGCTTAAAGAAATGTAGCTTGAGGCCCAAATAAAATCTGCTTCTGCTCTCCTGCCATCTCAAGAAAAAAAAAAATAAATTGTTGCATGTGTTCCTATTCCAGATAAAAAGACGTAAGTGATGTAAAGCAGGGAGGGGAAGTGACCAGCTATTGTGTTTGCAAAACTTGCCCAGGGCTTTAGAGGGCAATTATAGTGCCAGCAGTATAATGATTGTCTGCCTGTGTAAATAAATTGGCAAATTTAACTGCAACCTTTGTGATGCTTCCTGGCTCCCTGTCTCGCTGTCATTCTCCGCCGCTCTCCCTGCTGAGCACTGGGCTCTATTTCCTCCAGATTCAAAGAAAATCTAGGTCTCCGACCACAAAGTGTTCACATTGAGCTGTTGGCCTTGAGAGCACCCGGGGAAAGCACCAGGGAGCAGGAGGGGTCCCGGCAGCGCCTGCCATCTGTGTCACTCTGGGATTTATCATCTGCCCTATCTACACAGCAGGTATTTTATTTTAGAGCAAAAAAGGTAACTTCTTATATCGCCGTTGTTAAGCAGGCCTGAGCAGTTTGGAACGATCTCACCATCTAGAGCAAAGTAGAACATTTCACATCTGTGTGTTAAAGGGAATCCTGCAATGACCGAGAGGGTAGCCCTCCCTAAAAGTCACCCTAAAATCTGGTGTGTGACGGTCAAATTCCAGCTCAGCATAATTATATTCTTCCCTCCCACAACTTTCTCTGCTATCCTGGATAATAGCTCTGTTTTTAAGTCTTCTGACCCAGATTGTGCTATCGCTCCGGCCGAGAGGCACTTCTGGGGCTGTTTATCTCAGAGCACTGAGGACAAGACAATGTGATTTTTTGCCTTCAGAGCAAACTCCACACTGATTTTTCTCATTTCTGGACTCCTTCAGAATCCGTTTGGCACAGAGAAGGGGATGCGCCTCTAAAATCAGTTCTCACTAGAGCTGCTTGACTCGGTAGCAATTTCACCCTCCAGCAAGGGGACTCCCTACCCCTTTAGAAAGGATAACATCTATTTTTTGCTCATTGATGGGCTCATTTTACAGCCCATCCTTAGGGCTGAGCCCCTCCGTGCTGGCAGAGCAGCCCCAGGTCTGAAGAAGCCAGCGCCCTTCATGGGGTGTCCAGCCAGTGCGTTGCCCAACCCTTCACCCAAAGTGGAGGAAAGAGGAACATGAAACTGGTTTTCCTCTCCCCTTTGTACGTGCAAAGCTTTGGCATGAGACACTCTGCGGGCTGGCCGAGCACAGCCTCCGCGTGCTCCTGGTGGGACAGCAAGGCTCTGGGGTGGGATTTACCTGTCGTACACCACGTCCTTGCAGTTAAGAACAACCGTGATCCCCGACACCGTTGCCATCATGGCTTGGACCGTTGACACCAACCTGGAAAGAGAAGGAGAGGAGAGGAGAGGAGAGGAGAGGAGAACGGGTCACCCCCCCAAAATGTCACCCCAGAAGGGCCGAGGAGCAGGGGTGGTGGCCTCGGCGTGGTTGCACCAGGAGAGCTGTTACCACTTTGACTCGACGCCTACTCCGTGCACGCCCCGAAAGCCTTGCCATGGCGAGGAGGAGCTCCGTCCCCGCCGGTGGACGGGGGTGGCTGTGCCAGCTGCTGCCACCCGGGGACACGGCGGGTGGTGTGTGTGTGGGGGGGGTGTGTGTGTGTGTGTGTGTTTCCAGGTCTCATCCCTTCCACCCCCACCGATGAACGGTAACGCTGCCCCGTTCCCCGCGGGCAGAGGGAGAGCCGCACCGGAGCATCCCCGTTCCGCGGATCCGCCACGGCGGGAGCGGGGCGGAGAGGGGGGGGTACGGCTGGGCAGGGCTGCCCACACGTGGGGGGTTCTGTCTCCCCACGGCCCCTGCTCCCCCCTCCCGCCGTTGCAGATTCCCAGCCGCCGGGGCTCGGGACTCTCGGCCCGTCCTGTTCTCTCCCGATCCCGTCCCGCCGCCCTCCCGGTCGCCCCCCGCCGATCCCGCCCGTACCTGCCGCTGAGGAGGATGCGCTCCTTGAGGCTCCATCCCGGGGCGGCCCAGCCCAGTAACCGGATGCAGAGGATGAAGAGCCCCGGGAAGAAGGCGGAGGCAAGGGC